GTCTGCAGTCCAGTGCTCTCTGCTCTCCACAAACGCAGACTCTGGGTGTATGTATGGCCTTAGTCCTTTAGCAATGCCGAGTTTGTCTTCAAAAACTATTGCTTTTATTTTGAAATTTTGCAAGTCACTCTTCTCAGGAATTGCAATTACTTCATTGTGGAAAAAACGTGACTGAAGAACATTTGAGCAATTGCCCAAATATGATATCCTCACACCTTTAAGTTCCACCAGTACATGGCCCTCTGTGGTGGAAAAGCAACCACATACATCGAGGAAGTTTGGAGTCTGTTGAGTGGCTCGTAAGTACATGACCATTTCCTCTTGTAGTGGTCCTGATATGGCTACGCTACCAATAGCTGAGGGGAATCCCTGCTTGGCTGTTAGCCGTCCGATAGCTACGACAGCAGTCATTTGCAAGAAACAGTCCAATAACACAGGGTGAATGAAGTAGTCATGAAGGTGTTTTAGAAGTTCACCAGGGACTTGAATTGTTGTCACAGCTTCCTTGAATTCATCTCCAAAATGCACAACATCAAGCTGTTTGAAGACAGAGCCGTATTCAAATCCCGCTTGAGAAAGAATTGAATAAATCTGCTTTCTCTGCATAACCAATTTGCACCTTTGGGAGATCATGTCGAGACAAATGGTCAGTTCTTCTAACAATGCTTGGCCATCTGTACACCTATATGTGCCCGAGGCATGTGTTGCGACAGAAGACTGTATTTTAAATGAAGCTTCTTTCTCTGCATGTGTCACTTTCAACTGATGACAGTTTGAGCTTAGAGTGAACAGACTGTCAAATCGTACACTGATCTGGAGCAGAGAAGTCGGTTTCTTTGGCCTTAAACTTGCCATCACTGAGGCATAAGCTAGTTCAACATAGAACGCGCCTGGCACAATGGGAACACCGTTGTTTTTATGCTCCCAAAGATACGGTGCAGTCTCTAATGAAAGGTCGCACATGTATTCTTTGTTATCCTGCTTTATTTTGGATATGAGCTTGTGGGGAGGGAAAGAAGATGCTTCATAATCTTTTCTCACAGTGTCAAAATTCAGTTCTTTCTTTGTTTTGACAAACTGATACACAGGAAGAGATGTGGGCAATGTCTCACAACCCCTGTAGAGCTGATGCCAGTCCACACTGATGCCCAGTTCAAATAGTTTTGCCACCATAGACAAAATTGTGTCATAATCTTTCTCTGGCTGGACAGAGAAAAGAACTATGGCGTTGTTTCCCAGAGTCTCATGTATGTTCCTTTGGAGAGCCCTTCGAGGTCCAATCTCAACAAAGACCACATTTCTTCTTGATTGCTTGTCTTTGGTGGCAGCACGCAATGTTTGTTCAAACAAAACAGGCTCTCGGATGTTTCTTGCCCAGTACCTGCCTGTTGTAAAGTCACCATCTGAATAACTGTCTCCAGTCACCGTTGAAAAAAGTTTGCACTCCTTTGTGTTGGCATTCAAGGGATCAATTCTTTTCTCAATGTCATCTAGTATAGGATCCATCATGTGGCTATGGTATGCTGCTGGCACATCTAACTCATGGAGGAAGAGATTTTTCTCTATAAACACAATCTTCAGCCTCTGATGGAGGATGTCTATAGCATCCGCATCCCCGGACAGAGTGCAGGACTGGGGGCTATTTAACGCTGCAACACAAATTTTCCCAGAAAAGTCTTGAAGGATTTGTAATACTTTTTCTACGGCCACATTACCAACAATTAGCATTTTCCCTCCTGTGACTTTGCTCTGAAGAGCACTGCGGTGGTACAACACTTTCACAGCATCCTCAAGAGACAAGAGACCAGAACAGTGAGCGGCAGCAACCTCACCAACAGAGTGTCCAAGCACAGCATCAGGCTTGACACCCCAGTGCTTCAGGAGAGTGGCAATGCCAACCTGAATTGCAAAAAGAAGAGGCTGGACAACATTTGGCTTGCTGAAATCCTCATTATCATAGTCACCAGCAAGCCATTGACTGATGCAGATGCTTTTATGACTCTGGAAGAGATTCTCAACTTCTCTTACCTTATCTCTGAAAACAGGAACCTCTCTCAGGAGCTGCTTGCACATGCCCCTGTAGGCAACCCCATTTCCGCAAAACACAAAGACCACCTGGACTCCTGACCTTATTGACTCAACCTTTGTTTTCAAGGCAGATGTCAGTTGATGTTCTAAATCTGAGAGGGAAGATGTTAGGAAGGCCTTCCTGTATTTGTGTCTAGAATGACTCCTGCCACATGCTGAAGTGTATAACAGTGCCTGTACGTCAACTGTTTGATCGTTGCCAAGCCTCCAGTTGAGGTCTTTGATGGACAGGATTAACGATTTCTCAGATGCTGCAGATATCACAAAGAGTTTTTTACAGCCTTTTGGGATCTGTGTGGGAAAGTTCGTCTGTCTGTACTCTCTTACAATCACATGTGCATTTGTACCTCCAAACCCAAAGCTGTTGATCCCAGCTACCCTTTCTAATGACCCCTTTGTCTCCCATTTTTCAACGTTAATCGGAATACTGATATTCAAAGCTTTAACATCTACACTGGCAATGTCTTCTGAATAGAAAACTGAGGGAACAATGGTCTCATGCTTCATCATTAGGAGAACCTTAATGAGTCCGGCCACTCCAGCTGCAGATTCTGTATGTCCAATGTTGCCCTTCACGGAGCCAATCCGCAGTGTCTCTGAACCAGGAGGTTTGGCTTTTGCGATGACATTTGAGATGCTTCCCGCCTCTGTTGAGTCTCCAACTGGGGTTCCAGTCCCATGTGCCTCTATGTACTGGACATTTGCGAGGTCAGACCCTGAGTAGATTCTGCGCAGGAGCTCCTCTTGTTGTGTCATGGATGGTTTGGTGATTGGAGTGACTGAGTGACCATTTTGGTTGACTGCTGTTTTGCTGATGATGCCCCAGATTTTGTTGCAGTCTTTTATGGCCTTTGTATGGAAAGTCATGCTATTAGCAGGGTATCTATTATGTCTACCGCATGGAGTTTATTAATGACATGAAATCACTGTAAAAGAAAAAAACAATACTTGCTTACATTTTTCAGAGGCTTCAGGAGAACTACACCGCAGCCCTCCCCTCTTCCATAACCATCTGCTCTGCTGGAGAAAGGTTTGCTGGTCCCCTCAGGTGAGATCATCTTGGCCTTGCTGAGAGCAACAAACACTCTTGGCTCTATGATACAGCTGACTCCGCCACACAGAGCCATCTCACAGTCTCCTAGAGAGTGAAATAAAAAATGGAAAATTTAAATGTTGTGCCTTGATTAGATTGCTTTTGGTCATGGCCTTTATAGGGGAAATATACTGAAATACCTTGCTTTATAGCCTGGCAGGCTAAGTGTAGAGCAACCGAAGATGAAGAACAGGCACTGTCAATGGCAAATGAAGGGCCAGTGAGATTGAAAGTGAATGAAATTCTGTTGGCAGCCACACTCATTGCTGTCCCAGTGCCATTGTAGTGGGTTATTGTAGTTGGGCTGTCATTTCGGAGCATTTCATAATCACTGTTCATTAGACCTGTAACACCATTAAAAAGCAGAGTATGTTACAATTTTTGTATTATGAAGTTGTACTTGTAGTTTTAAATCACAGAACAATACCGGTCACCTATGTAAACTCCAGTTCTGCTTCCACTGACGCTTTCCATAGCCATTCCTGCATCTTCTAATGCCCTGTATGTGCACTGCAGAAGGAGTTTCTGCTGAGGGTCCATAAAATCCGCCTCTGCTTCAGTAACGCCAAAAAACTTGTGATCAAATTCATTGAACCTAAAATGTAAAAATAACAGATCCATCATAATTCAAACATCTCTCACTAGATGTATTAACACTTAATCTTAGTCCAAACCATAGACTGTATAAATGCTTACCCTTCAATTAGAGCTGCTTTGGTTGTCTGTGTCTTTCCAGGTTTGCTATCATCAGCATCATACCAGAGAGTGGTGTCAAACCTCTCTACTGGAATATCTACAACACAGTTCTTTCCCTCCAACAGAACCTTCCAGAAACTGTCTAACCCTTCACCTGAAATAAAAATACATATAATATACCTTAATAATGGAAACAAAAACATTAACTAAGAGAAATTCAAAACACTTGCCACAGCACCATAATTCAGTCACACCTCCAGGGAAATTGCATCCAATCCCGATAACAGCTACATCATCCTCTGTGTCCTCCATTATGCCTTTGAGATGTTAGTTGCTCCGGGGAAGTTTTAAAAGCCTAAGTAAAAGTTCAAGCCTCTCCATAGTGAAGCGTAATGTTCAGTCCTGTTGCTGTCTTTGGTCAGAATAGTGCTGCTGTCCCTATCACCCTTTATAAACACTGAGCCAAGCATCAGTGAAAAGGAACAAGAGAGCACAACAATGCCCTGGCTTGTTGCATCTCAGTTGGCTACATCTGGGACTAAATACACTAATTGTAAGTTAAGATCATTCAAAGGCAGCAGTAAATAAGCTTTTGTTCTTGTTTGCAGACTGACAAAAGAACACAGTGTATCTTAAGAATCTGATCAATAGCAGATCTGGATCACTGGAAGTCCTCTGCCTGGTCATTTTAACCGAAACCTGTGGCCACATTGTCTCTGAAAGGAAATAGTAATGTTTTTACTTTATAGATGTTCATGAATAAGCATCATTACAGTGAATATGACTGCATTAATCTGGTGTTAACATAGACAAGTATGCTTGAAAAAGAAGAGAAAATAAATTAATTGTTTGACCACAGAATCTGCAAATGGATAAATGCATGAATCCATATCTTCTGATAGTGGCAACTCAGGTGGCAAAACACACCAATCCAAATAATTGCTAATGTTTCTCTAGGTCTAACTAAGGAAGTGTTTGCTGACACATCAACCTTATCAGCTTTATAAGGTGATAATATCCAGATGTTGTGTAATAGGCTAATTTGTTATGCTTCCCCCAAGTGGCCAAATAAAATATCAATTAATATAAGCTAAAGTTTAATTTGAGATCTTTACAACACGAGTAAGAGTAACCTTTATTTGAGCTTCAAGGAACCCATTGTCTAAAAGAACAAACAGAAGCACAAAGCCAATCCTTTGACACGCTCATAATATATATACACACACTTTCTCCTTCCTTTATCACATACAGGTGAGCTTAGAATAGAGCATGAGGGCATATGACTAATTTCAAGAAAACAGGATACACCTTTGGGCACTTAAATAAATAAGAACACACAAAACAGATAGCATATGGTAGATGCCAGTGAAAGAAATAATTTAGAGGGAAAAACTAACATGAAGACAACAAGAACAGCAGTATCACCTGTACCTTGCTACAGCCAACTGATACATTCTAGACTGAGGTACGTTAAGGTCCAATGGTGTTCACCAGTCTGTACAAAATTAAAATGAGACAGAGATTAAATCATCATTCATCTCACCTTCAATAACCATGCCATTTGTCAAATCCATTTGCCTTATGACCTTGTTATGATACCAAATATGGCTCTGATGTATAAAACTATTAGGAGGTCATATGTCTTGAGAGTAGAGGACAAAAAGCCCCCAGTGAAACCTCAAATATCTTTGTGAACTGTAGTAGACAAACTTGTGGAGAAGAAATATTTATTTCCGTTTCGGTGAAGCACTTTAAAATAGTATTCTCTACAGGAAAAGCCAGACAAATGAAAATTAATGAAATAAAAATTTATATAAAGGGGTGAAACTTAATCATTTCGGTGTCATCTTCACATTGATAATAAGAGGGAAACAAATGAAATACAAGGCCTCCAAAAGGCCAGTGTGCAATCGCACGGCTTCAAATATATATATATATATGATACAAGATTATCTACTGAGGTATCTAGTGGTCCAGTGATTTTCCCTCCAGCACCATCTTGATCTCTTTAGCATCCAGAGTTTCATATCTTAGCAGGGCATCAGCTAGCGTCTTGTGCTCTTTACTGTAAGTCTTGAGGATGTTTTTAGCACGATCATATGAGTCCTGGATGGAAGAGAACACATGGTGAATCAGAAATTGATAAAGAAAGAGATTCTAAAAACAATCTGTAAATTAAACATATTTATTTGAGAGTGTTGTGGGAAAGCTCACCTTCAGTAAAGCCCTGACTTCTTGTTCGATGGCAGCTTGCGTCTCTGGGCTCTGCTTGGTTACGTCACTGTAGGTCATGACACCAAGCTGCAAAAAAACCCCAATAAACCCACAAATTACATCCTTAAGTTTAATGAACAATAGACCTGCTCATGCATTTTTCACTTGTAGTGATTATCATCATCATCATCACTGTTTGAGAGAGTTAGACATAGTTTCATTATCTTAAGTGTAATTTTATGTTATGGCACTGTTAGACGGCTGCAGGTTTTCATTGCAACTTAAATTAATAAATTGGAGACACACTGAATTCAGCTACTGTAGTGTTTGGTTGGTTATAATGAAAAACCTTAAGTGGTTCAAATAGGAAAAATGACAAAAAATCAAAGTACATTCATAAGAAAGTGCCAGTTTGCTCAGAAGTAGAAATATTATGTTCGTGTTCATAACATTTAAATGTACAGATGGTTTTGTGCAAACACTTTCTTGTATATACTGTAAATAAAAGGTCTAGCCCTGCAGCAGTGTAAACAGTAAAAACCTCAGGACAGCACTGTGTAGTGGAAAATGCTGTCTTTTCTGTAAGCGGAAGGTATCACACAAATTTTGATTTTACCTTGTCACTCATGCCGAACCTGGTCACCATCATTTTTGCTATTTTGGTTGCTCCATCAAAGTCGCTGGAGGCTCCTAAAATGCACAACAGCAGATTTAAAATAATGCTGTATTGCAAACGACCAAAGCATTCAGTCAATATTATCAGACATGTACTTATATTAATATTACAATATTTTACTATAGTATAACAGGTCTGAGGTCATCACAGTTGTAGATGTCTCACTTTATAAAAATGTATTGATAAATATGTATTTATCCTCAGGACACTAAATCGGTCAAAATTCTTTGAAACCATGCAAATCTGTGTTTTACAGTACATATACTCCTCTGGGAAACATATGGTTATACAATATGGGTGTAGTATTTTATCTTTAAGCATTTCTGGTTCTGAAATGGCACCAGATCATCAAGTAAATCAAGATCTCTTATTCCCGCACCAGTGGTGATGTGGTCATCTCCGAAGATGAGCTCCTCTGCTACTCGGCCGCCCATACTGACATCCATCTGAGCCAGCAGCTGGGCTCTGGTCTCACTCCAGCGGTCATTCTCTGGGAGCATGGACACCTACAGTACAAAGATCAGGACAACACTGATTAGCTTCAGGATTTGTTTGAACACTAAATGACGCAAACAACACTGGTAAGGAGTAGGAGATATAGATTATGTAGCCACAACAAATGCTCACATGGCCGAGAGTTGGGCCTCTAGGCATAATCGTGGCCTTGTTGATGGGCATTGCATCTTTGGTGAAATAGGCAACGATGGCATGGCCGGACTCATGGTAGGCTGTGATGGTTTTATTCTTCTTGTCGATTTCAACACTCTTCCTCTCAGGGCCTGGTATTAAAAAAGGATACAAAAAAGGAGGATTAAGTCATTAAAATAAAAATAAAAATCCCATTCAGGGTGCCCAGGTTCGATTACCCTCTCTCGCTTCCGCCATTCCTGTCTATCTCTGCAGCTGTCACGCATTTTTAGGAAAACACAAAACTCCCATTCATGGTATCTCTCGTTGACATTCTTCCCGTCTCCTAACTAGAGTGTGTGTAGGTAATCAGTCTCGTGAGGGGATGTAGCGCAGATCTAAACACTGTGTGTATTCACCCATGAGGATCTTGTCCTTAGCGAACTCCAGGTCCTTCATTGTGACTGTCTCTTTCCCGTCCATGGCTGCCTTCAGGGCTGCCTGGTTGACCAGGTTCTCCAGCTCTGCCCCGGAAAAGCCCACTGTGCCCCGGGCAATAATCTCAGCATCCACACCTGAGAAAGAACAAACACAATAGAAAATGCCTTCTTTATAAAAGTGATCAGTGTTCAAGAGACAATGCCCTTTACAGAGATGCTAGACAAAAAGTATTCTCACAAGCTTACAGCTTTGAATGCTCTAAAACTGTTTCAATTGATGAGGGGAGCTAATGTTTCTGCAAAATGTACAGGATTTTCTCACTAATATTGCCAACTAAGAATCATCTGTTAAAATAATTTGTGAGATATTAAATTTATTCTTGTATATTTTACCACTGAGACCTACCAGGGTCCATTGTGATTCTGGAGAGGTACCATTTGAGAATTTCAGTGCGTCCTTTCACATCTGGGCGAGGGACCGTCACCTGCATGTCAAACCTTCCTGGCCTTATCAGAGCGCTGAAAAGCAGTAGTAAAGTAGTGTTACTAAAGATTCATAGTACATCTCTTTTAAATGACTTAACCTTCCTGCTTTACAACCCAAATGCTGATGAGTGTTTGCTTCTGGGTTTGTTGTGTCCCATAATCATGTTTTAAATGAATGCTCTTTCTTTAGAAGCAAGGTTAGTTTGCCATAGTGTGAAGTAGAAGTAGTGGAGTACTTTTCAGATTCTCAAATTAGGATTTGGGTTTAAATCAACTCATTATATAAATGGAAATTAAAGCAAATGTCAAAAATACTTGCCATGAAAATGCGTCAACAAAAATCACTGTATGATTTTAAGTTTTTGTCTTATTGTAGTTTATATTAAACAGGTTAGGGGTCAGTTTATATTCCGAGTGTTTGTTTTGTATTTGTGTTTATGAAATTGGATCCATTCGGACAGTGTAATATAGAAACTACAATGAGGCCAAAAGGATAAAACAGCCAGAGGTGTTAGAGGACAAAGGTTACAGAGTGGGAGGTAAAAAACTGGAACAGTTTGTGTACATGAACTATATCTACATACTGAACGGATTCACCATATTTCAGACCTCAACTGGTTATTTAACAGTGGTTGATTGTGCGAGTCTGCGTTTGTGTGTGAAATTTAAACATACTTATCCAAAGCCTCTGCAAAGTTTGTAGCACCAATAACAATGACACCTTCATTTGGTTTAAACCTGTAAAATACCAAAACATTGCCAATAAGAAGTCAAAGAAGTTATCGGCTGCAACATTTTATTCACACTATGCTTTTAGTTTTAAAAATGTCAAAGCCAGAAAACTGACCCATCCATTTCAGCCAGCAGCTGGTTGATGGTTTGTCTGGAATAGGGATGCATAGGAGACTCGATCCTCTTTCCACCAACGCTGTCCAACTCATCGATGAAGATGACACAGGGAGCGTTAGCTTTTGCCTCTTCTGCAAACCACGAAACAAAGAGAGATTGTAGTCGTTTGGCTACACGAGCAACTGGTTCCTCACGTTTTCTCACATCCGGCAAACTTACTGAAAAGGTTCCTGATTCTGCTCGCACCGACACCCACAAACATCTCATCAAACTCTGATCCGGAGGCGTAGTAGAAAGGCACATCGGCCTCCCCAGCCACAGCTCGTGCTAACAGAGTCTTGCCTGTGCCTGGTGGACCAACAAGGAGGATCCCTGAGAGGATAACAGAGCAAAGGAGTTACGATAAAATAACATATCAAGACCAGTTGCAGAGTTTGTGTATTAGGCTAATGAGACCTGTGAATAAAACAGAAAATAGAATACCTTTAGGTAGCTTTCCACCCAGAACAGTAAACTTCTGGGGGTTCTTGAGAAACTCCACAACATCTTGTAATTCATTCTTTGCCTCCTCCACTCCTTTGACGTGCTCAAATGTCACATTCTTCATCTGGATGGGGTCGACTGCTGAGTCAAGACCAGATGTGGTGCGGAACCTCACTGTGAAATCCCAAAAACAACTGGTTCAGCACAGTAACGCCAGAAAAACTTGCTCCTCTACAGTGTTTCACAATGAAAGACAGAATACCCGCAGGTTACAACATGCACATATGTAAATACAAAGAACATATGCTGCCTTTCCACATTTATCACTTCCAACTAATCAAATTGTTCCAGCATACTGACATTCAAACATACATAGTTGATATTTAACTATCACTACGGAGTGGTATGCAGCAGAATAATCAGTCAAACTCTACATGCACACCACAGGAGAAATACTATGTCTTATCAGCTACACTGTACGGTATTAACTTAATGTACACATTAAAAACATATTACATTAAATATTTGAGCTGAAATAGGCTTAAGTAAAGCTCTCACTTTTATTTTACATATTTAGACAGTAACAAGCTTTATTTGCAATGTGCATGTAGGGTTGCGAGTTGATTTGCAAGTAGGGGGGGGAATAGAAACGGAAACAAACCAGCGTCAGAAAAGGAGCCTTTACCCGAGAGAAACGGGGTTCTTGACAACCCATAAATACCAAGAAGTACGAGGGCCAACAGGATCAACCTGGTTCTCCTGAGTGAGTCTGTCAAAATAGAGCAAAGACAAAAGGTGAGCTAGAAGTCCTTCATGTCAAGCATAGGATCAATTAACTCAGCCCTGCAACCCAAAGAAAAGCTGGTGAACCTGTTAATACTTCCTTTCATTATATAGGGTGAGCCGCATACCTTGTGTTCTCTGAGTGAAGGCCTGAGACCTCATGAACCCCTCGGTGAAACCCGTCTTGTATGCCTCCTGCTTGTTGTCTGGAAGGTTTGTTTGTTTCGCCAGTTGATCCAGTGATTGCACCTCTGGTCCCTTTTCCCTCTGAAGCCATCCCTGTGAGGGAAACAGTGAAAGAGTTTGTCTGTAAGCTTCAAAATTCAGCCCTTTTCATTTCTTTGTCTGCCCTCATTTTTTACTATTATAATTTATTATTTTTAGTCTTGTGTACATTTAAAATATGTCCCACTAATCTTTCCACCAGAATGTTAAAAACAGCTGGAAGTGTGCATTAACGTGCTGACCTTCATGAATGCTGGGGTATAGGGCTCAGACTCCGGCGGAACATCATAACCAGACTCCATTCTTCTGGTCTTTGATTTAAGTGTCTTGAAACCCCGACTCTGGACCCATACTGAATAGAGACACAGAAAAATATTAAACGCTAGCCTATACATCCAGTCATTCATACACATAGATAAACTACACACAGCAGGGTAAGTATTCAAAGTCAGTTTCTTACCAGGCAAGAATTGTAGCTCTGAGCAAACCTCTTTTAGAGGACTGTGATATTGTCTGTGAAATATTGGGGAGCCAAAAACCCCCAACCTTCTGTGTGAAAACCCTGTCAGACAAAAAGTGTTTTCTTAAGTAACAAATCTCTGATAATACAATAGCTTTCGATAAAGTAAGCTTTGGTACATTTTCTTAGAAAACAACAATGCTGGGTCGTCTTCCAGCTCAACGGCCAGACGTGCTCACCATGCTTATTGTGAAAGAAGCTGTCTGCAGAAACGTGACTTGTCCTCCATAGCGAAGGAACAGCAGGAGGTTCTTCTCGTCCCGGTGTGGGCAGTAACCTGCTGACCAGCTCATCCAGCTGACTCACCTTGATATCTGACAGGCCAAGATCCCTCAGACTCACATTGGGCTATGAAGAAAGGATGGCAAAAGCAGTTTATCTACACCTTTGTGAGACAATCGTTATGGGAAATAACAACCCACATGACATATTTTTTCAGAGACATATAAAAATGAACATATTGGAAAATATACTGAAGAAGTTGTACATGCTTTTGGATGTATTTTTAACACATAGTGTTTATTATTGTGTGTTTAAGAAAACTACTACTGTTGAAGACAGACATGCATCCTCTGCCTTATTTACAATGTTTATTTTCTCCACATAAAAACGTTTAGGAAAAATTATGAAAGCTCTATTTAAAATATCTTCAGTATAGAAAAGTAAAGTCAACTCATGAGGGATTCGTCTTGATTTGTGTGCTTGATCAAAATGAGAAGAGGTTTCTCCCTGCAAAAAAAGTGATGCGAGACAAACTCCATGGTGTTATTGGTTACTGATTTATGTCATGTATCCGTGGTGTCCCTCTCACCTCTTTTAGAAATGAACTGTGCTCTGGAATGAAGTCTTTGTGCAGGGTCTGGACTGAAGCTGTGGCTGAGTTCTTCAGAGAGTGGAGGGCATTGATGAGCTGGCTGAGGGGCAGCATCACCTGGCAGGTCCGCCAACAGAGGAGGGTGAGGAACAGTCTCTCAAAAACATGGTGGTTTATTATCTTTCATGTCTTATGTAGTAAAGTTTAGCTGGATTGAAGGTGACTCTTCCAGACAGGACAGTTATGTTAGTGTTATTATACACTGCTCTCAGAGAGATGGCACCGTGTGTGACTTATGTAACCTCAACTCTTTGAAAATTCAATTAGCGACCATCAATTTATTTCATCCCACACATATCAGATGTAAATGACAGAAACCGCACGTACACAGTAAGCGTGGGCTAATTATGGAGAAACATACCGTTGACTTGTCAATGCTAACATTAGCCTAGCTGAGTTGTCATTGACCGTCGTAGAAGAAATTTAAACGACCTCAGACAAAACCTCTTGTTGCTGTAACTCCCGTAACAGCTCTTCTCGGGCACATTATAATTAAAGGACATAGGACATAGAGCACACATACAAGCTAGCTAGATTTTAAAAAGCTGCTATCCAGTCGGCTTACCTGCTGAGGCTGAAACGAGGCTGACAGTGAAAACATTTTTTTCCGAATAACGTTAATAATTCAAATTCAGGACTTGGAGGGTTGATATGTGAGGAGAGACCCTCTGTATAAATTAGATGAACGAGTCCTCCCTGGAGCGGTGTCCTTTGTGTTTCCCCTGTTACACAACTTTCAGCAGCTTAGCTTGTAACAGCAAATGGATTCTCCAGCACCCGAGGTCAAATGGACTACAAAATGACGTCAAGAGGAAGTACTACCGGGTGTAGGTTACGTCACTTTTGTTTTTGATACAGTCTATGTATAATACCTTTTAGATACAGTCTATGTATGATACCTTTTATATACAGTCTATGTATGATACCTTTTATATACAGTCTATGTATAATACCTTTTAGATACAGTCTATGTATAATACCTTTTATATACAGTCTATGTATAATACCTTTTAGATACAGTCTATGTATGATACCTTTTAGATACAGTCTATGTATGATACCTTTTAGATACAGTCTATGTATAATACCTTTTAGATACAGTCTATGTATAATACCTTTTATATACAGTCTATGTATGATACCTTTTATATACAGTCTATGTATGATACCTTTTATATACAGTCTATGTATGATACCTTTTAGATACAGTCTATGTATGATACCTTTTATATACAGTCTATGTATGATACCTTTTATATACAGTCTATGTATGATACCTTTATATACAGTCTATGTATGATACCTTTTATATACAGTCTATGTATGATACCTTTTATATACAGTCTATGTATGATACCTTTTATATACAGTCTATGTATAATACCTTTTATATACAGTCTATGTATAATACCTTTTATATACAGTCTATGTATAATACCTTTTAGATACAGTCTATGTATGATACCTTCTGGTCTTTTGAGATTAATACAAGGAAGTGGCAGGTTTAATGAGCATCCATCAACAATTTAAAGGTAACCTGGAATCTCCTTTTCCCAAGCTACTTTGCAACTCCTGAAAAATTAAAATAATAGTTTTGAATTTCAAGAAGCAATATTGTGTAACCAACAAAACTAGAGAAGTTCATTTAAAATTGTACATTTGATTTGTACTGTGAACCAGGTGACCATGGCGAGGTTGAAAATACGTGTCATTTATTTTATGATTGTATTTCTACAAAATTATTTTAGTTAGATTTAGACAATTCAACTATTAATTAGATAATTAATAAAAACGAGACATCTTTTTATGACAAGCTTGATAGTGATCGTAAAAGAATATTTTGAACCTCTTTATTTTATAAGCTAAATATTACATTCACAAGTGCAAATAATAATAATAATAATAATAATAATCCTTATTTGTAGAGCACTTTTCAAAAAATGGTCTAAGAAGAAACCACAATTACCACATTTTAAGATAGAAATTAAACATTATATTGAAACTTTATTTGGTTTAAAATAGCAAAGCAATCAAAACAGTTAAATGTATGTAAATATTTATTTTTAATGCAATTATTCAAGTTAAACAATACAAATTCAAACTACTCTATTTAAATTCAGTTTTTAATGCGATTATTGAAGTTGAGCAATTCAAATTCAGATTTAAATAATTCAAATTCAGATTCTACTGACACAAATATCAGCCCAATGTTAGAGTACTGTGCTATTAGATTTGGAGTTATAATGGAGGATAAAAAAGGGACTTGATTATCCAACAATTTATCCATAAGTTTAGATTTTTTAAGGTAAGACCTCTGTTTTTTTGTTTTCATGAATGAGTTAATACTTTATAAGAAAGCTTTGAAATGTATAAAAACAAAACAAGCCTTGGATATTTTCAAAATCATATCTGTTGTAGTTTTTAAATTATTTTTTCGTAACATGACATGACATAACTTACACTTAATCACAGAAAACGTCAAGACCGTTTGACGTTTTGCGGACAGGCGTTTATGTGGACAACTAAACAGAACGGGCGGTAGAGGACCCCGCGAAAAAGCAGTGGGATTCAAAATTCAAAACAAACCCGACATCGCAGTTGAAGTGTTTACTCTGAGCTAGCTGGCTGTTACAGACACGACATAGCTCCTCATTTGAAAACGAGTAATAATAACATGGACGCGGATGAAAAGCACGACTCCAGCACAAACGAGAAATCTGTGGAAATCCCTAAACCGCCTTCAATCGAGGATTTCATCATTTTGAAGCCGATCAGCCGCGGCGCTTTTGGCAAGGTCTACCTCGCACGGAAGAAGTGCAATGCGCGATTATATGCCATTAAGGTGAGTCCGTTTGGTTTGTGACAGCTTTGAATCAATTACTGATACTCATTTATGATACAAAACACTGACAGTTTGTGTTTGTTTTCTCTCTTTAGGCGATGAAGAAAGCAGACATGGTTGATAAAAACATGACGGGCCAGATGAAGGCGGAGAGAGATGCACTTGCTTTGAGCAAAAGCCCCTTTGTGGTTCACCTGTTTTACTCCCTTCAGACAGCCACCAAGATCTATCTGGTAACACGGAGTGCACAAAACACATGTATAACAACTACTGCTTTGTTTATCTGTTGTTAAATCTTCATTTTCATGTTGCTTACAGGTAATGGAATACCTTATTGGTGGAGACGTCAAATCTCTGCTTCACATCTATGGGTATTTCGACCAGGATATGTCCGTAAAATACATTTCAGAGGTCGCACTAGCTTTGGATTACCTCCATCGCCACGGTATAATCCACAGGTACCGTTGACACGTTCTTTAAGTCTTGTTAAATGTATATAACAGATATTTTTTTGTGTGTTATTGTGTTACCTGGAATTTACCAGAATTTTAATTTTAGGGACTTGAAGCCAGACAACATGCTTATATCCAATGAAGGTCACATCAAATTAACAGACTTTGGCCTTTCTAAAGTCAAGCTTGACAGAGGTATGCAGTCCCATGAGCTTGACACTTGAACAAAATTGTGACCATCAACACTAATAATCTTAGTAATCTGTCCTTTATTTTATCTCTGTGCTCTCTACCAGAGCTGAGTCTTATGGATATCCTTACTACTCCATCCTTGGCTAAACCAAGTAAAGATTACTTCCGCACCCCGGGCCAAGTTCTCTCCTTAATCAGCTCCCTTGGATTTGTAAGTGAATTAATATAATTTCAGTCCTATTTGAGGGCTTCATGCATAGTTTGAATTGCATAGTGACTTTTCCTTTATTTTATCAAACCTAGAATACACCTGCAGGAGAAGGCAAACGTCACTGCAGCGCATCTGTGATGTCTAGTCCCTTGTCCTGTGGCAAAACGAAACGGAAGAACAACTCTCTTGGGTCTCCCTGGATGAAGACAAAAGATCAGCTGTACTCTCCGACTCGCTACCCTTGGAAAATGGGTAAGTCATGGTAGATATCCACAAAATATATTATGGATATATTTTTCTTTTTTTCATCCATTAACCTTGTGGAATGACAGAAAACTGATTCATTAACTGTTTTGGTTTATCTGTATTGTTTCCATAGAAACAAACAACACTGTGTTTAGTCATCACAACGTGGCTAAAAATCTGACACCCACACTGCTGAAGACCAGGAAGAGGTTTGAGACGATGAGTGCGGGCAGCACCACCGACACAGAAGGTGGTGTCAGCCCACTGTGGGAGTGTGAGGAGGTCAGTGATTGTAAACTTATAACTGTGTGTAATTTATGACCTAATAAACAATGTTATGTATTGATTTGGGTTGCCCCCAGATCTTAATTAATAATAATTTAATATTATACATGTGTGAATACAAAGGCATGCTTCTCTCCCTAGTTTTAAAATAGATCCCCATTGCATAAATTTTAGCCTCTTGTGTATATTGTCTGTAGTGACATACAACAGATGGTGTAGATCTAAGGGGATAAAAGTAACAAAGGATTGGAATTTTAAAAATGATTTAAGTGGAAAAAGACCTTCATCTGTCTATATACTGGTCTTTCAGATATGTTCATTCCTTGTTAAGTCAGTCCTTTTCCCCTTTTGTATTTCTTCTCTAGAAAGAAAATGAACATACTAATGAACAGAAGAGGAAAGGACACTGGACTGAACAGGACTGTGCATCAACAATACAAAGCTTCTCTGCCAAAGCCACCAGCAATCGGTCAACTGAGCCAAATCCAGACCATCTCGCAGAAAAGAAGCCACACACCAACAGTTTGGGGTCTGTTTCCACAGCACGGGATCCTGTATGTCCATCAGCCTCATCTGTAAAGAGAACGTTTTCTGATATTGAGAGAAGTCCCGAGCCATTGGAGATCCAAGCCAAGAAGAGTAATGCACACTATAAGAGATGCTACGAGATTCCAGAAGAGACTACAAGGTTTCACACTGGCCTGACTGGAACATTTTCCACCATCCAAATAGGCGACTTCATGGCTTCCACTGAGGGGATAGGGCTAGCTGAAGACCGGTTCCCAGTGCGCTCCAGTCCCATTGCCATTGCCAAGAGTCTGTTCTGTGAACTGGAAGATCCCACGAAGGACGTATTTGACGATGGAGCCAAAGACTTGTCACATTCAAGTTTCACGTCGCCACTTGCTGGGACCAGTAACATTTGCAGGAGCTTGAGCCTGGACTCTGACGGGTCTATGCATGAAACGTCCCTCACGGTTGACAGCCATGCATCTCACAAGCCAAACGTGTGTTCCAAAAGCAGGACTTCAGCATCACCTGAGGAGCAAGCAGAAAATAAAAACTCATCCATCATTGAATCCCTCCCACATACTCCATCTGCTGTTAATAGTCAAACACCCAAACTTGGTAACTTTAGCAGGAGAGGTGAATCCCAGTGTTCTTTTTTTAACCGGCTGCCTGATCTGGCCAGCAGTGTTGCACAGTCCCCGTCATTCCTCAAGCCGCGAAATGTTGTAGCTTTCCGTAGCTACTGTAGCTCCATCAACCGCTCCAACATGTCAGGGGTGTCCCGATTTAGCGTCGGGTCTATGGAGGCTATGGACCTGTCTACAACAGCTTCCTATCACACTGCGTCTGGCACTGCAACACCAGTGCAGAAAAGACCCGACTACAACAGCTCTCTCTATCAGGTGAGCATACAGGGACACAATTTAAATATTCTTCTTCTTAAAGGAGCCACAGTGTTGTCCAGTTGAACACCTCATTCAGAGTAGGTAGTAAAAGTAACTGCAGGCTAGTTTTCGGCTGCATGTCTCAAGATAGAAAACTAATACGTGTTGTTTTCAGCCATGTTGTAACGGGATTTGGACATTATGACATTAACACTTTTATACCTTAAGACAGCTTCTTCACCCTGCTGCCATCTAGCAAGAGATACATAAGTATCTGCTGTCATACCACCAGATGCCAGAGCAGCTTCTTCCCCCAGGACTCCCCCCGAGACTCCTTTAATCTTCCTCAGCACTCCACCATGTAAAATAGTTTTATTTCTTTATATAATTTATGTTTTTAGCCACCTTAGCAGCACGGCGACGTCGGCCCCTTGATCTGTCTCAACAATTATTGGATGGATTGCCATAAAATTTGGAACAGATTTCCATGGTCCCCAGTTGATGAATGGTCAAAGCTTGACTTTTCTTCAGGCACCACCATGAGATGAGACGTTTCGTAGAGACATTCAGGTGTCGATGAATTAAAATACCTTTTGCTGATGCGCCAAACTTTTCATTCAGTGCTGTCATTAGGTCAAAATTTGACATTGTTCTATACTTGCAAAATTAATGACATTCTGATCAGCTTCAGCTGTACGTTGTGTTTAACTTGCAACAATTAGCTTATCGCTATCACACTAACTACTAAAATGGTGTTCTAGTCAGTAATACATTAGCTAAACAGCCGCATGTTGGCATTTTCATAGTGAGCTTGCTAGCATACGGTTCACAGCATTTTGTAGCCTCACAGAGCTGCTTACATGGTTGTAGTCTTGGAGTCGCATTTTTGTTTTGTGCATAGGAGTTATTATCTTGGGCACACATAAAATAGTATATAAATAAATATCATCTTTTGGGTATCTGTGGAAATCCAATATAACAGCCTGACAAAAATAATTGCTTTTGTGAAGCTTGAAGTTTTTGAGTCGGTATATAATCTTTCAGGGAATAGTTGGTGGCATTGGGTGGCTGTGGTTTAGCGGTAGAGTGGGTCACCAAGTACAAACAAGTACTGTACAATCAATAGAAACGACACAAAGGGATAACATCTCATGCAGTTTTTGATAAAATGTTTGTGTAATGTTGCCATTTCCTTTTTTATTTCCTTCCCACATCAGACTCCTCAGCCCATGTCGACCTCTCACACCCCTTACAGGACTCCAAAGAGCGTCAGAAGGGGGGCACTGCCGGTTGAGGGTGCACCCATTTTAGGAACTCCTGACTATTTGGCTCCAGAGCTTCTTTTGGGAAAACCACATGGTAAGAAAGGGAAATTAGAAATTCCAAGTGCCTCAACACTGTGTTCAAAAATAGCCCAAAGCAGTCTTATGGTATTTACATTAGATGGTTGACATTGTAGTTATTGTGACACACATTTTCTTTGAGTTTCAGGAAGTTGTCAGTGTGGTAAGTTTATAATGATATTCACTGTTTTTTGCAAGCGAGCTTGCATGATCCCCCAGCCTGCTAATACGCTACTGGAAATGAGCTGATTCTTCCCCCATTTTCCTGTCCTCCTCTGGGTCTCTTTTTGCCCCGTGGACTGGTGAATAAACTATTGGCCTGGGAAGGGGACAGCATTTTAAATGTGTGATTACAAAGGCAAAAACAATGGGATTGTCTCCTAACATTGAACTAACACCATTGTTAAAAGTTTGGGAATCAGATTTGTTGAGGCTGAAAGGCTAAGGCTGAGGCTTTTAACTGAATAAAAAAGGGGTCTCTACTCTTCAAATCTGTGGAGTTTGGGTAATCATTGCACACAGTCAGTGTGCTATGGCAGTGGCTTTATTTTTTACATTTAGCAACTGACATGCAAATTGTCATCTAATAGGAAGGTATTGATCTGTCATGCTGTTATTCATTCAAATGTGAACACGCTGATGGCAGTGTTTCCTGTCAGCTGCACAATCCCATTTTATAGCATGATTGCTGCTATTTGAAATCATGTCTGTGACATGAATTATACTCTGTGGCAGTATTTATTGGCTGTCAAGCATTTTTGAACTCTAATAATAGATGGTAGTGTTAATTGTGCTTTTTAAAATCCCCACAGTTACTGAGAATCAAAATGACTTTAAAACAATAATGGTAATATTGTAATATCAAGGATCACGTGTGTTACATGTTGAATTTTCATTGGATTTATAAAATGAAAGCAGAGACGGAGGTTTGCTTGTTAAAAGGTGTCCCATCAAAGTAAACTATTGCTGTAAAGAAAATTCTTAATCCTGTATGTTTGAAAGAAGGAATATAAAGTCAGTACAGAGAAGCTGACTCCCTCCATCCTCATGCTAACTTAGTCCCTGCTTCTGCCACCGCAGTACAATCAGTGCACACACTAACTGGAATCACAGGTTAAACTGGAACTGATTGAAGCCAGCAGCTGTATGAAATGTGACACTTGTTTTCTCCCCCCCCTCCCATCCAGACTTCATGGTGGACTGGTGGGCGCTAGGTGTGTGTCTTTTTGAGTTCCTCACAGGTGTGCCACCTTTCAATGACGAGACGCCTCAGCTGGTCTTCCAGAATATTCTCAACAGAGGTGGGTTTGGTTTTCTTCATCCAAATCCAACCCACAGAGTGCTCGAAAATATGACCGTCTTTGATGATCAACATGCCTAACATTGCATATTTATATCCACGGTTTGACAATGAATGAATGCTATTTCTAATGCTTTGGCATGCATTTGTTGTTTATTATACCACCTCATTGTCAACAATTTTAGATATTCCCTGGCCTGAGGAAGAGGAGGAGCTGTCTATGAACTCGAGAAATGCAATTGAAATCCTCCTAACCATGGAAATGAAAAAACGAGCTGGTCTTAAGGGTGAGGACCATTTAATTTCCCAATTTCAAACATTGATTCATGAATAATACTTATTTAAAAATAACTAGTAAAAAATCTGAGAACTTAATGTGTATGAACACAGCAGGCCTATATTTAATTTGTGACAAATTCTTAAATGAGATAAATAAGAGCTTAGCTGTATTCAGGGAATTGGTGGTCTGATGAGAAAATGCTAATATTGCAATTCTGATAGTAGGACACTTTTAAACAGGAAGTATGTTCTGATCATTTTGTCTGAACATCCCCCAGAACTGAAGCGTCACCCGCTGTTTAAGGGTGTGGACTGGGACAACCTGCACAACCAGCCGATGCCTTTCATACCTCAACCAGAGGACGAAACCGACACTTCGTACTTTCAGGCGAGAAACAGCGCCCAGCACATCGCTGTGTCTGGCTTCAGTCTATAGAGTTACAAATACTAAGAGTTGAGTTTTTATTAAAGCAGCACTCGACAAATTCTGGCTGTCGATGATGTGAGAAAGTCATCTGTGTTGATAAATCACTTGCTTTCATTGTGGAGAACTCTAAAAAAATCAGATCCTTTATGCAAACGAATACTCAGGAATGATGCGGATTGTGACTGTTTCTCTGTTCAAGGTTATATTTTTAAAAAGCATTTTACCTATGTGCAATCAGCGGTCAGAAGAGTCAGAAAACAAGCTGAATCTCTTGACTGCTCAGTTAAGAGTATGAGTTGTAGAAAGTTAACTTCTTTTAAAACTAAGTATTATCATATTATAAAAAATAGGTTTCTTCTACAAGAAAAATAATATTTGCTACTGTTTTTTTCTTATGATTGGCTTTGATGTCTGTTGTTAAGGTGTTATAATGATTAAACTCGAAATAACTGTATGTTTATGTTGAGCTACATTTTTTTTGTTTGTTTGTTTCATCATTGTAATGCTCCCCTGCCCCTGAATGTCTCCTTAAGTGGTACAGAACTGCTGAAGAAAAATCTGCCTATATATTCAAGAATAATATCTTATAATGATTGGTTTAGTTGTTTTAAGGAGTAGTTACTTTGTACTCTAACGGGACAGTTTTTTTGCTGCTTTTATGTCATTTGTATTTTTCACACTACTACACACACTGTTTGTTTTTAAGATACATTCATTAGCCTCCCTGCTTAATTTTATCTTGTTTACTCTAAGAAAAAAGTTAAGTACAAATAAAATCCGTTTGTAACATGATGTGAGTTGTCCCCTTTGTCTGAAAAAGTTGACACAAAGTTTAAATAAAACATACATCTAAATTGTTAAAACAAAATTTAGACATTTTGGGAAATTAATCGCTTTCTTGCTGAGCATTAGATTAGAACCACCCCAACGTCTGCCCGCTAAATATTAAGTTAGCTAGCTTAGCACAAATACTGGAAACTGCCACCCTGGCTCAGGCCAAAGGTATATTTTGTCAATAGAGCCATGTTTCTCCGTTTCCAGCTCTTTGTGCTGAGTTAAGCTAACTGACTGCTAGCTGTGGCTTCAGCTTTGCCATACAGACATTAAGTGTTATCAATCTTCTCACCCAACTCTCAGAAAGAAAGCGACTAAACATTATTTACCAAAATGTCAAACAATTTATTTGAAATAATCTTAACAAATTAAAATGCTTTATGAAAACTTTATTTGAGGCTTAGATTATCACATGCAAACACCCGTCTATCCACAGGCAGAGAGGGTGAGACAGCCTTTGTACATTTAAGTAGAAAGGTAAATGTATTACTTTTTTTTTTTATTAAAACACAATGGCTCTGGAAAGATTAGTGCTACTGCAGATGCAAATATGATAGTTTTCTATATTAATTCATGGGAATGCAATTAAAATACTGCATTTTAATCTGAACTGTACAGCTATTGTATACAATTTATATAGGTTTCACTGCTTTGCAAACAGGTCATGATTATTTTCACTCAAACTCCTTTCACAATATTCGCACAAACATTATATCACACATATAAATGGTACGATATGGAAAAACGTGACAGTAAACAACAGAGACTGCGACAAGTGTTGCATTAATAATCTGATAGTGGACCACCTCATGGCTCATTAGGTAGTATGATTAATGATTATTTGGTCCAGCACTGGAACGGTTATGCTACAGTATGTGACTGTAAGAAATCATATTACCACCTACATGATGAATGTACCTTATGATGTTGAGGCACTTCGTCTATCTGGAAAACAATGAAGTGAATAGACCACTTTGACGTAAAGCACAGACTGATAGGCAGCAGGACAGACCTCGTCTAACGTATACAGAACATTTAGCAGTCACTTTAAACAAACCTCATTTGTAGAGCTGAAATCTAGCAAGGTTTGCCTTCATTGCAACCGTTGCTAAAAATAATAAATATTAACTTATTCTTAAAATTTAAAAGAATTTTTACATTCTTCCCTTCTAAACTAATAAAGTAATTACAACATTTTATTATAGCAGCATTACCTGGGCAACTATTGAAAGTTAATTATGAAAATGTCTAATCACATCAAGCTCAAATCAACAAAGTATCGGCCTCATTTTTTGTGCAACACAGCCTTAGTTATGGATATTAATTAAGAAGCTACTGTAGTTGGTTTATAAACACGCTGACAACATCCCAACTCTTCAGTTCCCCCTCTCAACACAAACCATTTCTTACAGAGAAAAAGATTCTAGTACAGCGATATCGGGGGAGGGGGTGGTGTTGTAGGTTGTATAATCACAGGCTGCGAGCTCATACATTCACGTTTCTATTCGAGTCCACATCCACAGTACAACACACTTAAGAGATCACATCTCTCACGCATTACTCTAGGTGCCTTCTTCATAGTGCAAAAGCAAATTACTGGGCTGTGGGTCTAAGCGGGGAGGGAGTTACAGCCATTTGCAACCCAGCCACATTTAGAGGACTCTTTATCGTCTATGCCCATGGGTGTTTGGATGAGAGCAGGTTCAGTTGATTCGTCTATTAAAATGAGGAGAAAATTAAGGAGTTAGATTTGTATATTGCATTGAAATGGTAGTAGAAAGCAGTTTTACATTTCATATTCATGTCAGATGTTTTTTTTTTTCTGTAAAAGAATACCTTCTCCTCCTCTGCAGGAATAGGCGGATAAGCCACTGTACCACAAATGGCCATAAAATAGCAAAGGCCAAACTGGTCGGGGAAATGTCGAAAGGCCACCAGGATGGTTTCTAGGAGAATAAAAATAATTTAATTAGAACAACAAATCAACATTTCAAGTGAAAGTGTGGCTCATTATAATGATCAAAGTAATGTTCATCAATCATTGTAGTTCCTGCTAATGATTTTTAAAAAAAACTTCAAACTTTTGCTGAAAGATTGTTTTGGTGGTGTATGAGAAATATGTAGATTTCTTTTCTAAATTAAAAAATAAAACAAATGTGTTGTCTTTTAAAACTGTTTACCCGAGTCCTCTTATTCAGTGGGTTTGATGCATAAGTTGGAGACAGAGACCCTGATCTTGTCTGCAGAGACTAAGAGAAAAAAACAATATATATAAAATCCATAAACTTGTGTCGGAAAACATCATTAACATAAATGATTCAGTGAAGAGAGAAAACCCCTTATCTCCCAAAAAGCTTCATCTACACACTAAAATCATAACTTACAGTGTAGTTACATCATGTCATATTGTTTCAAAAATATAATAAGCCTTCTCAACATTAAAGTTACAACTTCTACAATATATGGGAGCTGTTTTTTAAAACATAAAGCAAGGGCTTTCACTTTGAACAGTTTCAGGGAAGGCACAGTGAATGGAAGTGAAACAATATTACATTAGTTAACAAAAGAATAACTAACGTAGAATAGCCTACATGTGTGAGAGTTCAGAGATACAGTAGTTTTTGGGAACTATTTTCCCCTTCATCAGAGTCAGAAACTAATAAATGCATTTAAAAAAAGCGATCTGGTGTAGTCAGAAGTTGTCAAACAGAAATTTAAGGCTATTCTGGCTCAAATGTTTAGTGTCTATGGGATCATGATTATATTATTTGATCCCATAGGCATCCAGGAATTGAGCAAACAAAAATAACTCTTCAGCACTGTTGACCTTTCCTTAATGGCAATTAGAGCTGAACGATTAATTGCATTTGCGATATTATCGTGATGTGATAAAATGAGATTTTCTAATTGCAAAGGCTGCGTTTACACTCTGGTCACATGACACCCAAGAGTAAAGCAGTCTGCAGACAAAGCATCGCCTTCGCACCTTATGCTGTACAATGGCCTTAAGCTTGACAGAAGCAGACACGACAGAAACTTTAGTGTCACACAGCGAATGAAAGTAGCACCCGAGGCTAACTTGGTGGTGGTGGGTGAAATCGTCGGGTCATCCGCCGCTTTGACAGACAGGATAAATGCACAACAGAAAGACACGTGTAGTAAGATAAGTGTATTGTGGCGATCGGCGCCCGCGTCACACACAGCGCCACCAGTCAGCTCAGGAAATATCTGTGAAACGGCGTCCTTAAGGAGGCCCAGTGTGTCCCGAGTTACAGCCAATGCGCTGCTTAGCAGTATCGGGGGCTGCGGGGGAACTCCGGTGTTGTTGGAGAATTACTAAACACGAGAGGCGAAACTCGGTTTTATTTTCGTTGGCCAACTTTTGAATTTAACCTCAAACTGAGTATTTTTTTTGTTTGCTTATACAGAAAGATGGACACCTAGGAGATTAGAACTGAGATAAGGATTAATTGGTGGTTGAACTGTGGGTTTTATATTGAGCGCTTACTGTATAACACACTGTGGTGAACTTATTGTTTCTTGTGGTCTGTAGGTGGGCCGACCTGATGATATTATTTAATGCCATGACTCAAATTATCTTTCTCATTATTAAAATGAGATACTTCTCCACCATTGCTCATAATAATAATTCATGCATCACCTACTTTCATCATAACACAGGCCTGACCCACAAGAAAGAACAGTGTATGTTTAATCTATCCAGTATTGTGTTGGTCAAACTATACACCGATTTACTCCTCGTCCGTTCTGAATAATACATCAAGAGCTGAAAAATTAATCGCATATTAAATCGCAATATTTGTTAAAAACAAAAAAACAATTAGCAATTAGATTTTCCAAAAATCGTTCAGCCCTAATGGCAATATAGACAAGATAAATGAACACATTGGTTTAGCTCTGAAGCTAGTATTAAAATGTAGCTAGATTAATACATTTAACAAAATATAAACATTGTTGACTCAATATATCTGATGTAGTCAAGTAGCTTTCTAAACCTGGCCACATATAGTATCATCCTCTTACTTGGCAATTAAAATTTAGAGTCATCATCATCCAGTGTAAACTAAATTATCTGCACTGAAACACAACCAGCTGGATTACTTTGGCACTGTATCCTTGTTGTAATCATCTAACAAATGTGCCGTTTTCAGGACCGTTATTATGCAACTTCTATCCGAAGGCAATGAACGAGAGGACAGTGTCTGACCTGGCTCGCGGTCAGAGCCTCCAGGGTGTGCAGCCTCTCCAGAACGCTCTGCATGTCCTCTTGCAGTCTGGCCAACGCCACAACGATCTGCTCATTCAGGCTCCCTCCAGGTGTCACTGCTCCTCCCCAGCGGCCCCCGTCCCCGTCTCCACCGCCGTACATGGGCCCCAGCGATCCAGAGCCGAGTTCTGGAGTCCTGGAGCCTGAAAACACAGGAAGGATTTATAATGAACACATGTTCCCACAACGTCTACATCAAAAGAACGAGTTTGTGTGTCAGTGACGAGTCAAATGTAAATTTGACACCAAGGCTACAACAAATAAATAAATATATAATTATTAAATATCTGCTTATTATTTTTCCTCAATTAACTGTTTTGACCTTATAATGACCTAAAATAGTTATTTAAAAATTTCCCAGGGCCCAAAGTGGTCTCTTCAAATTCCTTCATCTGACCAGCAGCCTGAAGATGTTCAATTTACCATCATGTGACTAAAAAGCAGCAAATCTTAACATTTGAGAAGCTGAAATGTGAGACTGTTAGGCATATATATAATATCAAAATAGAGTCCCTCTTATGACAACCTTACCCCTTCCTCTCCTGACCAAAGAGCTGTTCGGCTTGTCTGCATTCAGACTCTGCCTCTGTGACATTGTTCCCCCATTCTCTCCATCTTCTCCTCCAAACCTGATGACCGGCGGTGGACCGTGAACACCCTCCCGGGGCTCCTGCGTTGCCTGCCGCTCCTCTAGAGGCGTCAGGACGTGGTTCTCCTCTTCGTCCAGGTCGTCCAAAGAGCGGTTATGCTCTGAGCTCTGGCGAAGAAGCACATTAAAAAAATCAAATCAACGATGGGCAAAGAGCTGCAAAACGCTGTATAAAAGAAGTGGGTTTAAGTTGTTACTTGCCTCTTCCTGGCTGAACTGGTCCACAGAGTCACAGTAGACTTCGCTGTCCGAGTCACTGGCCAGGTGGCTGGGACCACACACCTCTACACTGGGATCTGAGATCAGTACAAATGGCACAAGACAGGGAACAGCAAACTGCATTGTTATTAACAGAGTGACTGGGGGGGAGGGGAAGCTGCACTCAGTTTGGGAGCTTTGTGTTCAACAGAACCATTAATTTAGTCCTTTAACAACAACAACAAAAAAAAAAAAACTCTCCCAGGAGCAGCTGCTGTGTAAAGTGTTGAGATTCTGCAGAGTTGCCACTGCCCAGACTTAGCTGATTATCTGATCACATGGTGCACTGATACATGAGCAGAGGCAGCGGGTGAGTACAGAGTCCTCAGTAACCATTTTGAAACAGTTCATGCACATGTTGAGACACAACAGGACATTCACAAGTGCAACGTTTTAACCAGAAGGCGTGCTGTTGCGTTACCTTACCTGTGTGGTGTCCATTGAGCTGAGGCTCACTGACTGAACCCTCCAGGGAGTCGTCACTGTTCAGGGCAGCCCTGGAATGACCCCCGTTGGTCAGATGGGCGACCCCGTTAGCCACTTTACCGTTCGACAGGGGAGCTTTGTGTCTCCTGGTTGAACCTTTCTTATTTGGCTGTGAAGCTGATGATTTCTTGTCTGAAATAAAAACCCCCAACGAAAGAAAATCAACTCAACTAAATGGTTCTCACAATATTTGCTGACAGTTTTTATTTAATTTGTTACCTTTTCTGACCTCCCTTGTCTCTACTTCCTCCCCCTCCTCTTCTTCTTCTTCCTCCTCGTCTTGTGCTTCTTCATCTGATCTTTCCTTCGTTTCCTTTGATTTGAGCCTGGCAGCACGAGTCTCCAGAGTGCCGTTCATTTCCATCGTTCTGATGATGCTCTTTGCGACGCTCTTCGACGGTATTGAATTCAGCATCGTACCAAACCCTGTGCAACAAAACTGATTTAATTGCAATATCACAAATACCAAAACACAATGCTTCCTTTAAGGATAAGGTCAACACTTTCTCTACTTATCGATCACATTAAAACAACCTCTTTACATGCGGTTGAGCGATAATAGTAACTATGTGAATTAACGCTGAACAAAATCCTCATGTACTTAAGCTTCTGTGATATATAAAAGTACAATGTAAGAACTGAGACTCTCCACCTGTCAAATTCACATTTAAAATAAAAAGAACCAGAATATTTTCACATCTAAAATCTGTGAATTAAGGGTTTATTTCGACCAAACCAGAGTTGGTGATTGGTGGAACAGTGGAGATAGTGGTGAGTTTTATTTTGTTTCTGTCGTTTGAATTAAGTTAAGGTAATTAGTTTGGCGAAAGACAGAAAGTTGAATTCAGAAGAAGTATGGTTAAATTTTTAAGTTTGATAAGGAAAATAGGTGCAAGAATATTTCCCTTCTTGGCATTATTTAGTTATTAATTAGACTAAAAAAGCTCAGAGGTTGTGTAACATAGCAAGTTTACCACTTGCACACCTCGAGGTACAAAGTAGTCTTACAACATAGGATTAGGATTAATGCGCATGCGCCAACCGTGCATGCAGCCTGTTGCAGTATTTTTTCTCTCACATGTGCGTATTTGTGCAAAAAAACCTAATGTATAATATTCTCTGCTGGTTAGCATGCTAACTTCAGTAGATAACTCTTCCACACATAAGATGTCTTTGACAAAACATCAGAACTTTCACTTCTTCACATTCTGTGGATAGGCTTAGTTGATTTTTTAATGTTTTAAAAATAAAAACAACTTAAATTCTTGCCATATCTTACCACCTTTAAAGTACAAGACAAAATATCCCAGTAACATTGGATTTATCTGCATCCAATTAAAGTGTTTTTTCTGTCACCTTAAATGTGCTAAGCCACATGTTCTGTACCACTAATTCAGCATGGGTGACGTGGCCGCTAACACTCACTAAAAGCATCTGAGCTACAACACCAGACAAATACTAAACTATAAAAACAAACTGAATGCCGGCACTCACAGATCCAGTCTTCTTGTCTATTGCAGGAAACAAACACTAAACTACACCAACAAATATTCACACAGTAATGTACTTGCCTTCCAGTTGCCTAGCAAATACTGTCAAACGTGCTGAGCATCAGACAAGAGGCAAATTATAATATAAGGTTAAGCTCCACATGCTGTTTTGGACATTACAAACAAAGTAAAAGGTGGGAGGAGTTACGCCTGGTGAATAAAACCCACCTGTGCTCAGGTCTGATATCTGTGTGATCTTTTTCTTCTCCTCAATCAGCTCATAGAACGGGCCGAGGACGCGCAAGAGCTCCTCCACCTCGTCCGTCATGGGCATGCCCTCCAGGATCTACGCATCAAAGACAACAACAACAGACAGTGATGTTTAGCTCAAATTAGGGCTGGATGATATGGACAAAAATGTTATCACGATAAGTATCAAATTGTTATTTCCTTCGAGTTTAAAGGCTGACTTTTGCTCCTGAGTGAAAGTTGAAGAAACTGATGGTTAATTGTGGTTTAAACTCTTCTTAATGGTCAGAACATGACAAACAATTGAGGCCAAACAGTGGATGACTTCACAAATCTGAGGTAGAACAAGCTTTTTTCAGTCCTTTTCCCTCAACAAAATAAACATCTTACTAAAAAAAATGAAGTCCTAATTTGTGGATGATTCAGTGAATACAATGAAACATTTATTGAAAAATAATTTGTTATATTACTGAAAAAAAATTATATCGCGATCATTATTGTTAGTGCTTTATTGTCCAGCCCTAGCTCAAATCCATAAACAGTTAAAGAAAGGTTTGACTTTAAACTGCAAGTATTCATATAAAATAATATCTTCCGTACATACCAGCTTCATTTCTTCAACATACGCTGCCATTGCTGCTTCTTTTGGCATATCCCCAAGAGAATTCCATGCATCCCTGAATAATTACACAAAAACTGTTATTATATCACTTTATCAAGTAAAAAGCAAAAGCTCTGCTTAGTGTAAAAATTCTAATCTCATCAAGATTGGCTTTGAACACTTGTCCCACTTTTCAACTATGTCAATAAGGCCAGTTTATTTGAGGTCAATGTGTTCTTTGTTAGCTGTGGGTCAAAGGCTGACAGGAACTGACTAACTAACTAGAGTTATTCCTAAACTAAGTATTTTTAAATGCAATGGGACCATGAGAGAAGCTACCCAGCCTAGTGGGTAAAAGGTTACATTCCAAGCTGCGGAGTCCAGAGATCCCCAAACACAACTTGAGACTAAACCGAAGGAGAAGAGTGGAGAGAATTTTCTCTGTCTTAGTTTTGCACAGATGAAAAGTGCAACATGCACAAGGTCAGATACTGGCTTCAGTTCCAGCTGCATGGTTTATCCAGAATTATATTTCACTAGTTGCCTTGAAAACTGAGATAGTCATACATACTTGTTGCCAACTTGAAGGAAAATGATTCTTCAGAGTGACAAATAATATTTTCCCCCATAAATGGCGCACCTCAGCAGGAATCCTGAATGCATTTCATCAGGTATAAATAAAAAAAACTGACAGTACATTTTCCTTTTTTACCATTTTGCTTTCCCGACTGCATCCCAGAAGCCTGGTCGGGGTATATTGCAGGCTCCCACTGTGGCTTGTTTGTAGTAACTGTAGAACTTGAGCATCATGTCATTGGAGGGCTGAAAGGGACCTGAGGGAAAGACATTTTAATTATGTACTGAAAGATAGTTCTTTAGTAATTACTAAGGATGTCACGAGAACTGATACTTCTGTACAAAGCAGATACTAAAATTCTGAAAACATGTTGGTGCTCATTTTGCTGTACTGAAAGTTTTGCAGCACGTACCTTCAATGGTTCTGTGACAATGCCTCAATTTCTTACAGTTGGAGAGCTAATTTAGTCAGACGTTTCACCATTTTGATCACCAAAGATGATGAGAGTTTGCAGCGCTAAGAACTAGATGTTTGTCTAAAGCGCCTGTCACTGTTGGTGGAGTTAGGGGCAAAACAATCCCTTTCAATCATCAATAACCTTTTGTTTTTCAATATAAAAATCTCAGACAACTGCCAATATTGACAGTGACCACCCTTAAACATTTCACACCTGCGAGATTGTAAAGAAAAGTTATGAAAATTAAGGAAATAATTTAATAATGAAATTTTGCACATTGCAAGGTTGTAATGTCAAGAGCCTGCTCATTTATGAATCTAACCACCATCTGTCCTGGACATCCTCACACAACTTTCACAGCTGTTAGTTGTTTTTTTGTAATGTTCATTAAATGTTTATTAAAGTAGTATGATGAAGTACATGGGATTTATTCTGTTTTTTACCATGGTAACGACTTGGTATCGATCATCGTGGAAATATACTGGTATCGTTATGGCGACATCCCTGGTTAGTGCTGTTCTTGCTGTTTTGACATATCTGTGAAGGCTCTGAGATAAGACAGACTTTGGAGTGACTGCTGTGATACCGCATCACGCTGCTAGTAAAGTGGATTAAGCCCTTTAAATCGCACAAGATCCAAGCTGTTGCGCTGCACCTGGCTAAGTCTGCTGCTAACTGGTTGAACTGGCCCTGAAAAGAAAAAAAAAAAACAGACTGGTGTGGTGGTGGCTCACCGTCCGGGGGCAAACTCTTGATGACTTTGACGGCAGCTTCAAACCTCAGCTGGGTCAGACGCCTCTCATCATCCACTTTGACGCTCTCCACCTCCATTGTGTCACGCCAGGACAGACAGTCAACACAAAAACTGGAGACAGACAGTAACGTTACACAAACGCACCACCGCGATATGAGAAGCGCCAACAAACATTATGCTAAAAAGCTGACTTATATTCTGGGATTTATGCTAGCTGTTCATAACAATTTCAGGCTGTGAATTCAGACTTTTGCTACCATAATGCGACTAACGTTAGTTAAACTTGTAAGTTACTGTAACGTGTCTATCCAGGACACACCTCTAACTACCCCGATATTTGCGCGAAATACAGCCTATATTTCTAAACTCTCGACGGAAAAGCACATAACCGATGACACTTACCGTTAAAGTCAAGGGCCTATCTGTTTGTCGGAAGGCGACCTGTCTTTAGCCCTCCAACAGACGCCATGAACAGGGTTATGAAGCCTGGCAGAGGTGCTCTCTGGGAGTTGTAGTTTTCTACTGGTTGTCGCTGTTTCCTACAAGCTCCACAATCCTCCGCGTCTACTAAAAAAAATGTAAGTTTCAATAACTGGAAGCGGCTTTCACGGAGAGACTACTAAGGTGTACTTAATAAATCAGAAAAGTATTAAGAGGTTATAAAATATCGATTAAGTGGGGAAAGTATAGCCACACTTCGGAGTAAAACTACACATACCGTCATGCTCTAGTCAGGATCCATGTTTTTCAGTTGGAAGAGTGATAGGTACACGGGAGAGAAAAGGAAGAGCTCTCACTTTGTTTTTTCTCTCACATACAAGGAGCTTGGCAATTACTGCAAAACTCTGCGGTATATCTGTTTTGTTTTAATGAAAATAGCTGCCCAGTGTTTAAAGACAAAGAGGATGCAACGTGCAAAATATTGACCAAGGACAGGACTCACCCCAGCCACAGCCTGTTCTCCCTGCTGCCTTCTGGGAAGAGATATAGAAGTTCTGCTTGTTCACCACTACAATGCAGAAAAGCTTTTCCACCAAGTAATGAGACTCTTAAACTCAAATTCATCTTCAGCACTGCTCCACTGAATAAAGTTTATTTCTGTCTACCATTTTATAATTCCTTTTGCATCGCTGTACATTGTCTGCTACGTAGCAGAAGGGAGTGACAAACTTAATTTCACTTCACAACCTGCTACAATGTGACTAATAAACTTAACTTCTTCAAATGTTCACAATAGGCTACACTCAGACAAAACAAAACAACCGCTTGCAGATTTTCTGTGGAACCCGTTAGAATTTGCATAAATTAAAACAAGTGAAACTGAAATAAATAATAAACAAATCCGGGGAGGGGAATCATGAAGTAAATAGTACTAATGCACATATAAAATAATGATGTATGGTAGACTAGCAAAAATTTGGCCCCACTTTTAAACCACTGAGTGAGTCCTCTTCTCCAGCACAGACGATCTTCGGGTTGAGGTTACGCCACAGTGAGGGCAGGGATCCCACAATAGCAGGCAGAGAAGGCAGTGCTTAGCTGGCGCTGGTGGCTGTTTCAATCAAAGGGAAGGCAGAGAGGGAAGGGAGGCTCTGCGGAGAGATGTAAGATGGCAGAGCTACAAATGTTGTTAGAGGAAGAGATTCCTGCCGGCAAAAGGGCGCTTGTGGAGAGTTACCAAAACCTCACCAGAGTAGCGGACTACTGCGAGAACAATTATGTCCAGGTGAGTGGTTAAGTTCGCCGCCACGTTGTCTTCAGCTGCCTTTTGTCGCGAAAAAAAGCTCGGGATTGAATTGGGACAGGAAATGTGGATAAAGACACTGTGCTCGGTTATGAAGCCAGTACGCCCAAAAGCTTGGAGCTGTTACCACAGTTTAATGACGGGGCTTTTTTCCACCACTGTGGGACATTTGTGTCTGATCACACCATTGATCACATTTATTCCGTTTACACAGAGGGTGTGTCTACTTTTTAAAAATTATTATTTTAACACTGGAATCGGCTCCAAACTGCCTCCACTCTCTCCCTGCTGACAGAGGAGGGGGGAGGCCTGTGTGCTTTACAGCAGCAGCTCACTGAACAAGTTTGATGACTACATTTTAATTGTTAAGACACCAGCAAGAAAGTTACTGCAGTTTGTCTGCCTTAATTGATGCTGACACCGCCTAAAATGTATCCCCACATTAGTGGGGAACTAAATGTCACACTAAAACTATAACACTATATAACATCAGGTCGTTAAACTCACCATTTAATACCACAAAAACAGCTTAAGTCCCCATTTGGATACTGCAGGAATATTTCTGTGGAGGCATCTACATTATGGACTTTTAAGCACTCAGTGCAGATGCTGTAATGTCAGTGCATGGCTTTTATTGTTGTTGGTTTTTACCATTAGGCAATTTATAATGAAGCATAACATATGCATGAGAAACTGTAGAAGGCTAGACTTAATGGGGAGACTTATTTAAGATCATTCAGCTGGGTTTGCATCTAGGCTGTGAGAGAAAGAGAGGAATGTAAAGTCATTGTTAGTTGGTCAATAAAGGTTGGCGTTATTGATCCCCTTCAACTTATTCATGGGAGCAGAGCTTGCCTTAATCTCTGCTGGCCTGTGTTGGGGTTTCACAAGTTCTTCTTCTTGTTAAAGTAGTTTGTGTGTTAGGTAATGTCACGAAAGCTGTGTTTAAGTAACAATTTAAAGCAGTATTTGGATGTAAATGTGTGTCTTAATGAAATGATTGTCATAAGTCTTTTTAAATATGGCCTCTCGACGACCGCAGATGGGTTTTTTTTATTTTAAGACAGTGTGTGGTAAGCCACGACAAAACAAAACAAAACCAGAGAACAAACTGAGTGACTGTGAGAAAACATTTTTTATGCAGGAAGACAGCCCACCATATCAGCTACGGGAGGGTGTGTCCATTCCAGCTGTGCTCCCCAAGGACTCCCTGTAATTTTGTTTTCTTCCTCGTCCATGGATGATTTGGCACCGTGACGCTCGGCTCTGAAGCCTTGTGCCAGTTATAGGTTCAGGAAAACACTGCAGCACGAGAAGGTGGTCGTCTTAAGTGGACCAAGCTTTGTTTCTCGCCACTTCTGAAAAGCAAGCTGTATGTTTTTGTGCCGTTACTGATCGTGATGGTTCAGGTGTGTTACGCAATGTATGTTCAGGTATGATAGGGAGTTTAGTTTACTCTTTGGGTTTAGCAGCAGGAGAGTATTTAGGATCGAATGAGCAAGATTTGAAGGGCATGGCTGACCTCAGCCCAGACCACAGAAGATATTTCATATCTTTAAATCTGAGCATTTCCATAGTGACAAGACCAGGTGTTGATCACAGAAATGTGTCTGTCGCACAGATTGTTGAAAATAGTCAAACACTGAGAAGTTGGCGCCAAATATCTGGTCAGATTTGTTGTTATTCTTGAAGATATGAATAAGTTAATCTTTTAGATAAAATTTGAGAACGTTGGCATCTTTTGGTATATGGAAGAAGATGTTTTATTTTCCTGCTCGTATTTCTCGGAGCTACCAAAATGTGGGTACTGTACTGGCACTAGTTTAAGTTTTCACTCAAATCATCATCTGTCAAGTTGGCCTTGCTCTGATTTGGTATCTTTCAAACTTGTTTATTGTTCAGATTATTCCTGATTTAAATCAGTTTTATTATTCTTTTGCTAAATAAACCAAAAGAAAATTATTGCAAAAACATGTTGTATTGGTATCGCTAATAAAAAAAAATTGTATCTGTGCAAGTTTTTAAATTTAAAACACTAGTTTTAAAGGGCAATACCAAAACCTTTTTAATAACCGTTTTTTGCCCACATTTTGTCTGAGAAAGCGGCTTACAATAATTATGCATTTAGACTTCATAGGTGCAAGAGCTACATAGATATCATCAAAAATAGAAGTGCTTACAAGCAACAAAAAGCATTAGAAAGTGATACTCGCATAGTGTTGTTGGTTTAGTGTCTTTTAAATGTGACCACATTTGTATAAAATGTCAAAATGTTAGTGTGTTTTGCCTTAGAGGATCCAAAAATAGTATTCACATGCACAAAAATACTTCTTCAAAAGTCATTTCCACGTAGCTGTGGATAAAGAGGACAGCCGGGATGGATGATGTTGACAAGCCAACATACAGCATTTGATGTAAAATGTGTTCCAGCTTGAACTAAACTCCATGTAAAATTGTGTTTCATGCGTCCAACCGATTTGCGATTACTTCCTTTCCGGCAGAGCACCTTGTTTAAAGTGCTGACGTTAAAACATTTTTTTTAAAAGAAGCAGGGTTTTTAAGCTTTTGAGCACACGCTGCTCGCTCTGTGTGAAGCGAGTGTCAGACGAACGGTGCACTTTTCATAAGCCGTCTCTGTCTGCTGGAGATACTCACACTCTCTCTATCTCTCTGCCTCTGATAGAAACGCAACACACACAAGACTGTGCACTCTGAGCTGAACCGTGCACACGTCGACATGCCTCAGCTTGAATCAGCTCGTCCCTTTCAGCACTCCTCCCTCACATTTACATCCCCTCTTCTCTCTCTGTTCTTGTCATGGAGATGTTGGTGTTGAACGTGGACCGTAGTGCAGCGCAGACGGAGAAAGCTCTGGACAGATTGCTGCCCCACTTTCTCAACTTGATAGTGACTTTTGTTTCATCCAAGGGAGTGTTTTTCTTGTTTGTGTTTTTTTTACTGTGTGTGTGTGTTGTATGTGACACACTGACAGGTCAGAGTTATGTTTCCTGATTAGCCTGCTGACTCTGAAAACAGGCTGGAAATGCCTTCTCTCTGTGTCAGGAAGTGGCTTAATAATAGAGTCCAAAAAAAAGACCCTTTCACATTAAGCAGGGGTTTTGTATTTGAATAGGTTCCTGTTTATTCCTACTATGTAAGGTAGTTACAGGAAAAAAAACAATACTTGCAGCATGCTTGCTACTCCCTTGAAATCTTTGTTTTTAACCTCTGTGACAAGGACGCATACTCTGTATGCAAAGTGGGCCACCTGGCCATGTTGGCAGGACACACTGAGAGCGCTGTTGACTGTTTTGTTAAATACAGTGGTACTACAAACACTTTGCTCTGTAGTAGTTGATATTTTGTAGAACTAAAACGATTGACAGAAAATTAATCGCAGCTATTTTGTCAATTCAATAAGTTTTATTTTTCAATGATCCCGGCTTCTCAAGCCTTTTCTTTGTCATATGAGACTTATTTGAATATCTTTGGGTTTTGTGCTGATGTTTAAACAAAGACATTTGGCTCTGGGAATTTAGAAATGTTGACAGACCAGTTGGTCTGCGGTTGATCCTACAACACTCCTTCATTTAATTAATTTTATCTCTGAAAAAGTCTTTTGGTGACGTAACTGTTTTTTACTTAAGCAATTTGCTGCTTACTTATGTGCTGTTTTTTTAATATTTTCAAATATACTTATATTTAAGCTACTTATATTTACACTTTTTCATACAAACTACAAAAATGGGGGTGTTCTAAAACATTTTACCCTTAGTGTATTTAATCTTTGGGAAGATATTCCTTGATTCAAATTGGAGCTGCATTTGATTTTCTTATCATTGTATCGATAAAATATTCCCATAGCCCATGTTGACAGCTTGAGACAAAAGCAGCAAATCCTCACATTTGTTAATAGAATTAATGTCAATGAATCTTTTGTCGAACAACTAATCGATTAATTGACCTAACTAGAAAACGTAATACTGTACTGGTGCCATAAGGTTCTTGCATGGCTGTTTGAAGACAGCATTTAAAGGATGGAACAAGCTAATATCATGCTCTAATGTCGCCCCATCACTACATGTTTTGGCATGCAATTGATTTTAGCTTTCCATGAACAAAACATGCTGTTAATGTATTTCTTTAAAGTGAATTGGGCCGTCATTATCAGGAGTTCTGGGAGGAAGGTTGACTTAACAGTGACAAGGAATAGGGAAATGGAAGTGAGATGTTGTGTAGCAAACCCAGAGGTCAGACACCAGATGAGATCCAGTGTTGCAAGCTCAGGGCATGTGACCTCGCATGCTGAGCCAGCACGATGCCCACTTGTGCTTTCAGTTCAGACTGATCCTAAACTAGTAGCTGCGTTGTAATGAATGCAGGTAGCATGTCGGAGAGGTTTCCTGGAAAGAGAGATGTCCTCTTTGTGTGCTGGTCATGTAGCCCTGGTGTACCTGTCCTCTGCGGTTTCCCCAGGCGAGTTAATGTGAGTTTCTCCCTGGAAGAGGGCAGGTGGAAAATATTGAGTTGTTTTTAACACTGTTCTGTCTCTCTGGGTTACTGAGTCCTCGTTTCCTGTCCTTCTTCGTCTGCGGAGTGGCCTGGTTTTTCTCCCAGCATGGAGAGGCCTAGCGGCTCTCAGCCTACCAGCCAGACCCATTCATCCTTTTGGCCACCTGTCACTCCTCCCCCTCAGCTGACTGGGGTTGGTTTGGTCCAGACTGTTGGACTGATGATTCTACATTCTGCTTCGAGTGTGGGAGTTTTGGAGAACTGGGGAGCATACTGACATCATTGTTTCAGACTAAAATTGCCTCCTTGTAGTTGGAGCTTTTTACGGATCGTTTCTCTCTGTTGTTTTTATGCATAAAAGTGTGAATAATCCAAAACAAGAGACCCTCCAACACTCACATCCTCTGATAAACTGATTGTTTCTAGTTCTTAATCAGTTAAGTATGTTTCAGGTAGAGAACAGTGACTTT